CGTTGATTTGAGGTGAAATTGAGGTCAATCAGAGCGAGCCTCATGGGGCTAAACCGTTGATCTGAGGTCAAATTTGAGGACATGTTGGCGAAAGAGCGTTTAAAAGAGCTATCGAATGCGCTTTTCCGCGGCGCTGTAGCTCTATTGGTTCCCGAGTTAGCCGTCAGTTGTTCGAAATCGTTGAAAATCAACAAAATTTGACCTTTGCTGAACCCTGGTGACCTGACCTTTGCCCTGACCTTAAAATGACCGAGTGTTTCTCCTTATTTTTGACGCTCTTTCGATTGCCGCTTACCGCGTGTCGTTACGTGGCCCAGGAGCCGAGTTAGACGGAGGGGCGTGAAACGCCCCCCCCCCACCGATGGAAAGTTCATGCCACCAACACGGCGCAGGTTAATTGTTATGTTAGCTAGGCCTGTTGTAAGCTGTGAAGTCGTGGACCTGATCTTGAAGGAACTGGGCCTAACATTTTCATAGCAAACGTAAAAAAATGTTAATAGGTTGTGCAAAAAATAGCATCTCTTTTATGAAACATTTGCGAAACCTTCAACATCATCCCCAGCCCAGACCCCATTAGTCCCGAGCTCCCAACGACGACCATAAAAGCGTCCCCATCCCGTCATAGGCGGCGGAACGGGGAGGGCACCGGGGCACCGTGACCCCCTTTGATTTTGGCATTTCAACATTAGCCCTATGAGCGTTGCATGGAAATAATAGGACCAAAAGTCGGCAGTGCCCCATCCCCTTAATTGTAGGTGTTCCGCCGCTACTGCATCCCGTCAACGTGGGTTTATCATAAGGATGCTAAGATTTAATTTCCAATCCCAAGCTGTAATGATGGAAAGCAAATTTACATTTTACATGTGAAACAAGCTGACACAACTAGATATTTCCTATCTCGCTCCCTCTCACTGATTTACCCATTGCCTTGTTTCTCATTTTACCCTCTCTGGCTTTCCTTTTCAGTTTTCTCTCTTTTCTCTCCTCCCGTCGTTACCCCTTCCCTCCAGTCTTTCTTAGCTCTCTCTCTCTCTCTCTCTCTCTCTCTCTCTCTCTCTCTCTCTCTCTCTCTCTCTCTCTCTCTCTCTCTCTCTCTCTCTCTCTCTCTCTCTCTCTCTCTCTCTCTCTCTCTCTCTTTCTCTCTCTCTCTCTCTCTCTCTCTCTCTCTCTCTCTCTCTCTCTCTCTCTCTCGCTCTCTCGCTCTCTCTCGCTCTCTCGCTCTCTCTCTCTCTCTCTCTCTCTCTTTGTCTCTCTCCCTCTCTCTTTCTCTCTCTCCTCTCTCTTTCTCTCTCTCCTCTCTCTTTCTCTCTTGCTCTCTTCCTGTCTCTCTCTCTCTCACCCTCTCCATCTCCCTCTCTCTCTCTCTTTCCTCACAATATTCTCGACTGTCACAGCGTTGTAGGGCTTGTTTCCAGACAGGTCCCGGCGCTCCCCACTCCGCAGGCCAGCCCACACGGCCCAACCGCTCAAACACCCTCCGGCGGATGACCTCTGACCCCGGCGACCTGCCTGAACCCAGCCGACCGATCGCGTTCCTCTCCACGCCTCCGCCCCGCTTCCCCCACTACAGCCGCGTAGTAATTGTAGCGTGTGCAAAGGTCACGTGACATTATTTACTTCTGCGGCTTGTTCGGCTGACAAGAGATGGCACTAGTGGTCTGTGGATCAGAGGCGGGGCTAGGTTCTACGACTTCTTAGGGCACACTTCAGGGCAGAAAAGAGGTTTTTTGGCTCCCCATCCCAAAATGCTTCTAATATACAAAAACAAGTAAGATATTCGAAAATCGGAGGACCAAACGGATCGTTTGACGTATCTTGCGCGACTGAGAATTGATCGGTCTTCAAACTGCTGAACAAAAACGAGGTGATTAGTAGCAAGTGCTGGTGACTGTACATAGAAAACCAATAGGTCCGGCGAGATTTAAATGTGCAATACAATTACAATACAATCTCAATTCTCAGGACCCCACGCAGGCTTTTGGCCCCTGTGACTCCCGAGGGTCCTTCTCCGGTCTCTGATCCCGGAACGCCCAAAGAAGGTCTCCATGGCATCTTGGGATGTGGCCTCTACTTTCCAATTACCCCCTGGATACGCCAATCTGAATGAAACAAATCACGAAGACCGGTGCCAATTTGATGTCGTGCGGGACAGCATATCTTCAGGCGTCAACAAGTGCTGCCACCTCTGGGCGGCAATAGCGAACTGGAAACTGCCTGAAGGATTATCTCGACGATGAAGTAAAAATGCTTCCATATAAGGAATAAGAGCTACCATATTTTCATTACTGACGCGCTTGTCTTGCATTTGACGCAGTTCATCTGACTTGGGTGCCGGTTCAGGTTGTAGGTTGGTTGTGGGGTGTTGTCCTAGGTTGTGTGGTTTTATTCAATAGTTTTGTAATATTTTTTTGTCCCAAACATTCTCAAGATGTCTTTAAAAACTTACGGAGACAAGCCCATCAGCTTCCAATTGGAAGAAGGTGGTGAATTTTACTGTATTGGATCGGAGGTAAGTCATGGTTTGCTGTTACAAAAAGTACAAACGAAATTATTTTTGAATTTTTGATTTATGCCTTCTTGCCTAGTTTGCGTCTGGCTGGAAAATAATTAGGTGCGATTCAAATAATTCTCATCAAATTTTGTTGGAATTTTTGACTAAAGTAGTGCTAGTGCCTTTTTCTTCAGTCAAAACTCCAAAGCATGCTAAACCATTTTGAGCTTTTGCTGGTGCGTAGGCACCGAGTGTTGCATGATCCTGTGATGACCTATGGTTGCGTGGTTTGGATTTTGTATTGGGTGGTGCAGACCCTCACCCTAAACTGGTGGTAAAATGTTTTGTAGCTCAAGAACATGAAAAAGTGAGGAAATCGGACTGCCAAGGAGGTGGATATCGAAACTTCAAAAAGCTTCATTTTGTGGTGAATCCATTATGTGTTATGGTCTTGTTACTTGTTAGGTCTAGGCTGGTGCGGATTTCCAGCCAGGCTGTTGTGGGCTGGTGCAGATCAATCAATCAATCTGCCTGGTGCGGCTTGTTGACTGTTGCTATGCTTTGTAGTCTAGATTTATCTGAAAGTACGTTTGACTGGAAATAGTGTGGATATCATTGATTTCTTGGAATGAGTTATGTTCAAGCAATGTGTCTTCACAGAGCTTGGCACCTCCTTTCCTCAGTTGTTACTTGTTAAGTTACCTACATGCTGAATAAATTATTTTATCATGGCAGTTTGCTTACACAATGCATATTCATGCTTTGACTTAGGTATCTTGTAGGCTGTCATGGTATACAGTCATGTATTTTATAAGTGATGACTTATGAAGCATATTCATTACCAATTTTTTTATCTTCCAGTGCTAGCCTGGCTTAAACTTTCACCTACTTGACATGAATTTAAATGAAATACATCTAGGTACTTCACAGTTAAACCTACTTAACACCTACCAGGGAGCTCCCAGTGACCTGGAGATCACTGGGAGCCAATGATGAGGTTTGATACCAACTATATTTATGCCTCATATGTCTAAGTGGAGACTGAGCAAAGGCACATGGGTATTTTGCTCATATGCTATCTTATCTGCTTTCCACATGATATGCAAACTACATTTGTGCTAAGCTAATGCTCAAGGCCCTGTTTTACCAGTGATAGCAGCACGCTGCTATTACACGTGTCAAATTGGGTTTCCATGGAAACATCAACAAACCATGATGTCATCAATCTGTGTGATGTCATCAAATATTGCTGCTAACAGCTTCACGGCCGTGTGATCAAACAAATGTATCAAACGCATTCAATGAGATAGCAACTCTGTTCCAAACGCAGCTATGAAACAGCTCACGGATTACACGAAACGTCATTAGTGTGACGTCATCACATTACGTCGGCGCTCGCGCAATTTGATAGCAGCGTGCTGCCATCACCGGTAAAACAGGGCCCAAGTCTCGCTCAAATGGTAGGATGATTCTCACAGTCCCAAATGCCATAACCTGCCAATTCGCACATGTATAGACAGAGCAAGTGATATTTTAATAGTGTACCTACAGTTGTGTAGTTGGGATAGCTTGGGTCAGGTGAGGTTAGGCCAATTGCCAAGAGTCCCGCCAGATATTCATAGTAGCTGTTTACCATCACTGACAGCTTTGCTATGTGTGACAGGGACCAATAGCTTAGTTCTTGAATGCACAAATGATTGTTAAATTCGAAATCAGAGCTAAGTTGGTATGTCCATGGTCTAGAGAAAGAGGTCACAGGTTATCGAATTACTTTCTGAAATTTTCAAGATAAATGTAAAATTTATTAGTACCTAATGCCTATGAGGTTACCGAAAGCTTTGTTACGGTAGACCGTTTTTACGCGCTTTTTCGCGAAAAACAGAGGTTCATCCAGCCTCCTTCCCTCAAGTGCGAGGATTAAGCAAGCACCTGGCGAGAGATGGCTGCAGGGAGGCGGTTTACGGCGGGAGGGTCTCTGCTGATATGCTGCCGCCGCTGCTGTCGCCCCTTCCTTGCCGACCGAGTGGCCGCCGACCGGCTCGTTTCGCCGGGACGGGGTAAGCCGGGACGTTGGGCCGCTGAATTAATGATGCTTTTCGGACAGCTCACGCGTGTAAGGTGTCAGCACGCCCCTCATAGTGTCAGCACGCCCCTCATAGGGTGAGGCGGTGGCGGCCGCAGGCGATGGGCTGTTTGGGGAGGGGACGGGGGAAGGAAGCGAAATAAGTGGGTGATTTATATTTGTTTGGGACTTGTTATCGTGGCATTTATGTGGGTACCAAACCTTCAATGACCTCGTTTCTTACCTATTTTCATACGAGTGAGTGAAGTTAACGTTTTCCGAAAAAAAAAAATCCAGACTGTTCAGTGTTCATTGTTCAACGAGTTTGGTAGGTACTAGGTAGTATCGATTTGCTTGCATTCTTTACCATTCGCGATCGACGACAGTGCTCTAGGTAAAGTAGTTTTACTACTGGGTCATTGGGAGCTCAGTTCAGTTTGTGGCCGTGGTCGGCCACTGGCTCTGTATCGCGGCGGGGACGCGGCGCGGGGAGCTGCATGCCGGTCACGCTCGACCAGCTCTCCGACTCCCCGACGAGTCGCCGGTCGGCGGTGCATCGGCCACGGATCGACCCGTGAATTATGGACACCATATTATGACCTTCCATTCGATGCCCCTAAAGCCAGAGTAATCATAAACCTCCTTAAGTTGCTCCCAGACGTCCCCGAAAATCGCCGTTTGGTGCGGGCGGCGGCTGTCGCTCCCCACTCTCCCACCGTGCGCCGGTGCTCTGCTGGGCAGGCTCCGTCCGTGAACGGCGGCCGGTCGGCTGTTAGTGCGTCATTTGCCAGGGCCGATTGATCGGCGGACTCGTGTTTGGATTGCCGAGGGGCGCCGGCACGGGCCCTGCACTCGGCAGGCGGCGCCCCCCGGCCGGCCGCCGCTGCATAGACCCTTTGATGCTGCTGTAACGCACACTGGAAGTCGGTGTTTGTGGACGTGATGAGCCAAGTTTGGACGAAGGGACGCGCTGTCTCCCCCTCCCCCCCCACTCTCTGACCTCTGCTGTCGGGGATAGGGGGTGGGCGGCCAGTGGAGCATTACTGACCGCTGTGTTTGCTAAATATGTCTGATGGATCTCGATCTCGTTGAACGATTAACAGATCCATGGGATCTGTAGGATAGTGCAGAAATCAGGGCTGCGGAGTCGATGGATTTTCAATGACTCCGACTCCGACTCCGACTCCGACTCCGACTCCGGCTTCCAAAAACCAACTCCGACTCCGACTCCGAATCCGACTCCGACTCCGAATCCGACTCCGGTCAGAACTGTCGACTCCGACCGACTCCAACTCCGACTCCGACTTCGACTCCGCAGCCCTGGCAGAAATGCCCACGCGCTGAGAGATTTCCACAGAACCGCAACTATTTTGTCCTTGCGCTCCTTTTCGACGCTGCTTTCCCTGTGTCCCGCGGTCGAAAGTCGGTAGGCTGTCAGCACACTGCCGGGTTCACCATGTCCCACTCATGCGCCGCCGTGTTTCAGGTGGGCAACTACCTGCGGCTGTTCCGCGGGTCCCTCTACAAGAAGTTCCCCGGCCTCTACCGCAAGTACATCAGCGTCGAGGAGCGCAAAAAGCTTATGGACATGGGTGAGCTGTCGCGGATCTCAGAACTAATTAATCTATCGGGATACACAGAGGTGATGGAGATTGCTGCAATGTTGTCCTCAGTCGATAATGTCGCGGTCTTACATACATGACCAACGAACCTCGAACGCTGTGGACACGTGCATTTACCAGCCGCTGTATGATTCTCTTTGAATGGATTGCGCTTGTTTTGGGCAATTCGTCGACTGTATCGTCACTCAGTCTTGACGGTGTCCAATACACTGCCATTCACAGGCTGTTTGACAGATCATTGTAGTGGCCAGCGTCCGGCAGCATAGGTGCGGCCGCGACTGCCCTGTATTGGGACGTGTAACGCCAGCAGTCCTGGGACGGGACAGTCCAGTGACCAGTCTGAGCTGGCAATACTCTTAGCTGCCTGTCGCCTTTACCCTCATTTACACCAAAAATGCTGAGTATGAATACAATGTTGTGTTTCTTCGAGGACATATGTGATATGATTGACTAGCAAAGCTTTCTCTGTTTTCCCTCTCCTAACGACTGATATTGAGCCTGTACGGCTTTAGGTAATGAGACCCATCAAAAATCTTCCATGGCGCTTCTGGCACATCGGGACTCCCGTGATAAAACCACCGGGGCTGGGTACCCGTGATACTTGAGTCATGTTCTTCGCTGAGCGTTTGTTCATTATTGTTTGCAGGTCTCAGTCAGCACATCCTGGCCTCGAGCGTGTCTCTGCTGCGCGCCTCCGAGATTGAGGATCTGATCACCGGCAAAGACGACCGGTACCGCTCGTCGGCCATGCAGAACGTGGTACCCAGCGAGGTGATCGCCGTACCCAAGTAAGTGTAGTGTCCTCGCTGCAGTCCTTCGAATCACATTACACGCCGCCCCTCATACGCCAAACGCGCGTCCCACGTAGACACCCAATACGCGTCCCCTCAGGCATTAACACGCCTCACCTCGGATACCTAACGCGCCTCCCCTCGGATACCTAACGCGCCTCACCTCGGATACCTAACGCGCGCTCACCTCGGATACCTAACGCGCCTCACCTCGGATACCTAACGCGCCTCACCTCGGACACCTAACGCGCGCTCACCTCGGATACCTAAGGCGCCTCACCTCGGATACCTAACTCCCGCTCCCTCCGATATCCCATATGAACATTACCATGCGGTCGTACGGCTTGATCACCGACACGCGTTCGATTGGGTGTCTCACGCGATCCGACTATAAATCCGAGGATATGTGTGTCAAAGAGTCACGTGCTGACCTAATTATCTGGCAATGACCCGCAACGATGGCACGCAGTGCTCGATGCAGAGAGCAGCCGCATATTTTATCCGTATAACTTTCATACGGCCCTTGCATACGGCCGTCCTTTGGTCTAGTTTTATACCATTAGTCGTGAATCGTTCCTTCTGTGCCAATTTTCGTAAGTTGAGTAGGTAATCTGCTAAATAAATAGCTAAGAAGGGGTCAATATTAAGCCAAGAGTCTGGGCTAACTGACACAAGCTTTTTAGAAACGTGCCTCACGCCGTGCTGCTAAGGTTGTCCAGTACAAGGCGCTCTGATCCCTCTCTGTGCTTCTCCACTCTGCCCCAGCCCTGTGCTCTGCTACTTTCGCTACTCTCCCACCCTCTCTCTTTCTCACACCTCTGTACCGCTCGGCAGGGAGATCAAGACGCCCCGGAAGAGCGCTGTGCACGTGCCGGCCCAGCCCAACAGCTCGCACATGGACCCGGTGCCGCAGTCGACGCCCATCAACCGGAACCGGGTGGTCACAAAGCGCGTGCGCACCTTCCCCATGTGGTGAGAGGCCGGCGGCGGGTGGGAGGGGAGGGAGGGATGAGGTTCTATGCTTTGAGTAGGCGTCTGAAGCGGTCACAGGTTTTTCTGATGTGGTCGACTAAGTACAAAACGTATTAGGAAATGTACAAAGCGAGTTGCAGATGCGAACATATTAGTGCAGTACGGGTGACTTGGTTTAAAGTTAAGTTCAGCATTCCCGAATCCTAATTTCAAGTCTCAGGCAAAGTGGCGAATTCGGTTCATTCGCCAGTCCTGTATGTATGTATGTATGTATGTATTGACGATCAAGAGCAATCCACAATCGGCGTGGCGATTACACTCCGAAACTCCTGAAACTCCTGTTAAACACTCCTGTGCATATGTGTCGCCCAGAGATGAAGGGCTGTTGAATAATGTACAGCTCTCTGTATATAAGTGTGATGCGAGTCGGCTGCGCCGTCCCTCTGTCGGCTCTGCCGGGAAGGCAGTACTCGTGGGCCCCGTTCAGAGTGCCGTACCGGCCGTCCGGCGCCCGTCGGTGCTGTGTGCCAGTCGGGACCGGCCGGCCGGCGCGGGTCCCAGGCGGTCGGGGGTATTTATGCGGCCATCAGTGACTGCCGGCAGTGCCGGCCCAGGAGCGGCAACGGCCCCCCGGCGGCCGCCGACTCGGGCGATGAGACGCCCGGGGCGGGAGGCGGTCTGTCTGGAGCCAGCGGCCGGTCCGCCGGACAGGCTGACAGCGCTCACGAACAGGCTGCCTGTCCGCTCCCCCTGACAGGCCGTCTGAACGCTGTCCCGGTCTGGCTTCTATCGCATGCTGGGCCTGAATTAGATGGACTTAAATGTGAGGTAGTAACAGAAGTGGCCAGGTCAGAAACTACTGTTACACTTGGGCCATTTGTGCGGCAATAGCCTGTCTTGACTTATCGGCATGTATCGGCGTGTATGCTCGTGCTAATGTACTTACATGCGGCCTTGTTCGGTATTGGGACCCCTAGCGAATGCCGTATGAGGTTATAGGAACTTATAAGCTCCATCTCTGGGGATGAGCTATCGGATATGGCACGGTCTTCGGACCAAATGAGTTTTTTTTTTTACTGTAACATGCGTCTCGGGTGGAGTATACAGCGACTGACTCTGGTCCCTTCGACATACCGATGGCTGACACGGCTCTCTCTGACGCCCGTATGACTGACCCGTGTCTCTCCGAAGTTGACGCCCGAATGACTGAGTGGGCGGGCTACCATCAGCATTATCGACTAATGTTCGCTCGACGCTAGAATTGCATAGCGGCCATGAAACCACAGCCCATTGAATTAATCGCCCAGGGGCCAGGACAGCTTAATGGACCTCTGGCTTTGCCGTCATAGGACGTAAACTTTTCAAATAACAATTACGAGGGCATTCATATGTGAGTTACTGTCTTGTTAACGTCGGGCGCTGGGTTCACTCTACTTAGCGTTCGGAAGTGCAGTAGGAATATGCATGAACTATTAGCTCGTCGATGCTAATCGATTGTACTGAATTTGCTGTTTTGATGGGTAATTTCAGAACTGCACTTGCCCATTATGTTTATATTCGTTTGTGATTTTCTGATGCAGTGGAATGACGACCCCCTTTTCACACGTTTTGCTATGTTTTAAGCCGCCTCTCCCCTGCTCTCAGTCCTGTTCTGTCCTGTCAATACCGTTAATGTTTAATGTGCTGTGGCTGCCCCGCCCTCCCCCGTCGTCTCTGTGCCGCACCGTCTTACCCCGCCCGCTGCGCGTACGTGCGGGCTGCTCCGCCCTTCCCCGTCGTCTCTGTGCCGCACCGTCTTACCCCGCCCGCTGTGCGTGCCGCCAGTTTCGACGACACGGACCCGGAGCTGATCCACGACAACGCCATGCAGGAGGAGCAGCTGGTGCCCATCCGACTCGACATGGAGATCGAGGGACAGAGGCTGCGCGACATGTTCACATGGAACAAAAACGGTGAGACTAGCACGGGAAATTGGACTCTGATCAATTACATTTCTTTGTTCAGTGGGCTGTCGTATCAGTGGGCTGTCGTGTCGTGCCGTTAGGCTGTTTTTATCAGATTCGTCAAAATATTTTGGAGGCCTTTCAACAGGTTACGTCATTAATGCCACGGGCTCGAACTGATGAATCGTCGTGCTGACTCCTCCGTCCGCCGCAGAGACGCTGGTCACGCCGGAGCAGTTTTTCCGCTCACCCCCCTCTCCTCCCCCCTCAGAGACGCTGATCACTCCGGAGCAGTTTTTTCGCTCACCCCCCCCCCCTCTCCTCCCCGCTCTCAGAGACGCTGGTCACTCCGGAGCAGTTTTTTTTCGCTCACCCCCCTCTCCTCCCCGCTCTCAGAGACGCTGATCACGCCGGAGCAGTTTTTTTTTCGCTCACCCCCCCCCCCTCTCCTCCCCGCTCTCAGAGACGCTGATCACTCCGGAGCAGTTTTTCCGCTCACTCCCCCTCTCCTCCCCGCTCTCAGAGACGCTGATCACTCCGGAGCAGTTTTTCCGCTCACTCCCCCTCTCCTCCCCGCTCTCAGAGACGCTGATCACTCCGGAGCAGTTTTTTCGCTCACCCCCCCTCTCCTCCCCGCTCTCAGAGACGCTGATCACTCCGGAGCAGTTTTTTTCGCTCACCCCCCCTCTCCTCCCCGCTCTCAGAGACGCTGATCACTCCGGAGCAGTTTTTTTTCGCTCACCCCCCCTCTCCTCCCCGCTCTCAGAGACGCTGATCACTCCGGAGCAGTTTTTCCGCTCACCCCCCTCTCCTCCCCGCTCTCAGAGACGCTGATCACTCCGGAGCAGTTTTTCCGCTCACTCCCCCTCTCCTCCCCCCTCAGAGACGCTGATCACTCCGGAGCAGTTTTTCCGCTCACCCCCCTCTCCTCCCCGCTCTCAGAGACGCTGATCACTCCGGAGCAGTTTTTTCGCTCACCCCCCTCTCCTCCCCGCTCTCAGAGACGCTGATCACTCCGGAGCAGTTTTTTTTTTCGCTCACCCCCCCTCTCCTCCCCGCTCTCAGAGACGCTGATCACTCCGGAGCAGTTTTTCCGCTCACCCCCCTCTCCTCCCCGCTCTCAGAGACGCTGATCACTCCGGAGCAGTTTTTCCGCTCACCCCCTCTCCTCCCCGCTCTCAGAGACGCTGATCACTCCGGAGCAGTTTTTCCGCTCACCCCCTCTCCTCCCCGCTCTCAGAGACGCTGATCACTCCGGAGCAGTTTTTCCGCTCACCCCCCCTCTCCTCCCCGCTCTCAGAGACGCTGATCACTCCGGAGCAGTTTTTTCCGCTCACCCCCCCTCTCCTCCCCGCTCTCAGAGACGCTGATCACTCCGGAGCAGTTTTTTCGCTCACCCCCCTCTCCTCCCCGCTCTCAGAGACGCTGATCACTCCGGAGCAGTTTTTCCGCTCACCCCCCCTCTCCTCCCCGCTCTCAGAGACGCTGATCACTCCGGAGCAGTTTTTTCGCTCACCCCCCCTCTCCTCCCCGCTCTCAGAGACGCTGACCACTCCGGAGCAGTTTTTCCGCTCACCCCCCCTCTCCTCCCCGCTCTCAGAGACGCTGATCACTCCGGAGCAGTTTTTCCGCTCACCCCCCCTCTCCTCCCCGCTCTCAGAGACGCTGATCACTCCGGAGCAGTTTTTCCGCTCACCCCCCCTCTCCTCCCCGCTCTCAGAGACGCTGATCACTCCGGAGCAGTTTTTCCGCTCACTCCCCCTCTCCTCCCCGCTCTCAGAGACGCTGATCACTCCGGAGCAGTTTTTCCGCTCACTCCCCCTCTCCTCCCCGCTCTCAGAGACGCTGATCACTCCGGAGCAGTTTTTCGCTCATTCCCCCTCTCCTCCCCGCTCTCAGAGACGCTGATCACTCCGGAGCAGTTTTTCCGCTCACCCCCCCTCTCCTCCCCGCTCTCAGAGACGCTGATCACTCCGGAGCAGTTTTTCCGCTCACCCCCCCTCTCCTCCCCGCTCTCAGAGACGCTGATCACTCCGGAGCAGTTTTTTCGCTCACCCCCTCTCCTCCCCGCTCTCAGAGACGCTGATCACTCCGGAGCAGTTTTTCGCTCACTCCCCCTCTCCTCCCCCCTCAGAGACGCTGATCACTCCGGAGCAGTTTTTCCGCTCACACCCCCCCCCTCTCCTCCCCGCTCTCAGAGACGCTGATCACTCCGGAGCAGTTTTTCCGCTCACTCCCCCTCTCCTCCCCGCTCTCAGAGACGCTGATCACTCCGGAGCAGTTTTTTTCGCTCACCCCCTCTCCTCCCCGCTCTCAGAGACGCTGATCACTCCGGAGCAGTTTTTTTTCGCTCACCCCCCCTCTCCTCCCCGCTCTCAGAGACGCTGATCACTCCGGAGCAGTTTTTCCGCTCTCAGAGACGCTGATCACTCCGGAGCAGTTTTTCCGCTCTCAGAGACGCTGATCACTCCGGAGCAGTTTTTCCGCTCTCAGAGACGCTGATCACTCCGGAGCAGTTTTTCCGCTCTCAGAGACGCTGATCACTCCGGAGCAGTTTTTCCGCTCACTCCCCCTCTCCTCCCCGCTCTCAGAGACGCTGATCACTCCGGAGCAGTTTTTCGCTCATTCCCCCTCTCCTCCCCGCTCTCAGAGACGCTGATCACTCCGGAGCAGTTTTTCCGCTCACCCCCCCTCTCCTCCCCGCTCTCAGAGACGCTGATCACTCCGGAGCAGTTTTTCCGCTCACCCCCCCTCTCCTCCCCGCTCTCAGAGACGCTGATCACTCCGGAGCAGTTTTTTCGCTCACCCCCTCTCCTCCCCGCTCTCAGAGACGCTGATCACTCCGGAGCAGTTTTTCGCTCACTCCCCCTCTCCTCCCCCCTCAGAGACGCTGATCACTCCGGAGCAGTTTTTCCGCTCACACCCCCCCCCCCCTCTCCTCCCCGCTCTCAGAGACGCTGATCACTCCGGAGCAGTTTTTCCGCTCACTCCCCCTCTCCTCCCCGCTCTCAGAGACGCTGATCACTCCGGAGCAGTTTTTTCGCTCACCCCCTCTCCTCCCCGCTCTCAGAGACGCTGATCACTCCGGAGCAGTTTTTCCGCTCACCCCCTCTCCTCCCCGCTCTCAGAGACGCTGATCACTCCGGAGCAGTTTTTCCGCTCACCCCCCTCTCCTCCCCGCTCTCAGAGACGCTGATCACTCCGGAGCAGTTTTTCCGCTCCCCCCCCCCCTCTCCTCCCCGCTCTCAGAGACGCTGATCACTCCGGAGCAGTTTTTCCGCTCACTCCCTCTCCTCCCCGCTCTCAGAGACGCTGATCACTCCGGAGCAGTTTTTCCGCTCCCCCCCCTCTCCTCCCCGCTCTCAGAGACGCTGATCACTCCGGAGCAGTTTTTCCGCTCACTCCCTCTCCTCCCCGCTCTCAGAGACGCTGATCACTCCGGAGCAGTTTTTCCGCTCACCCCCTCTCCTCCCCGCTCTCAGAGACGCTGATCACTCCGGAGCAGTTTTTTTCGCTCACCCCCCCCTCTCCTCCCCGCTCTCAGAGACGCTGATCACTCCGGAGCAGTTTTTCCGCTCCCCCCCCTCTCCTCCCCGCTCTCAGAGACGCTGATCACTCCGGAGCAGTTTTTCCGCTCACTCCCTCTCCTCCCCGCTCTCAGAGACGCTGATCACTCCGGAGCAGTTTTTTCGCTCACCCCCCCTCTCCTCCCCGCTCTCAGAGACGCTGATCACTCCGGAGCAGTTTTTCCGCTCCCCCCCCTCTCCTCCCCGCTCTCAGAGACGCTGATCACTCCGGAGCAGTTTTTCCGCTCACTCCCTCTCCTCCCCGCTCTCAGAGACGCTGATCACTCCGGAGCAGTTTTTTCGCTCACCCCCCCTCTCCTCCCCGCTCTCAGAGACGCTGATCACTCCGGAGCAGTTTTTTCCGCTCCCCCCCCTCTCCTCCCCGCTCTCAGAGACGCTGATCACTCCGGAGCAGTTTTTCCGCTCACTCCCTCTCCTCCCCGCTCTCAGAGACGCTGATCACTCCGGAGCAGTTTTTTCGCTCACCCCCCCTCTCCTCCCCCCTCAGAGACGCTGATCACTCCGGAGCAGTTTTTCCGCTCACCCCCCGGCCTCTCCTCCCCGCTCTCAGAGACGCTGATCACTCCGGAGCAGTTTTTCCGCTCACTCCCTCTCCTCCCCGCTCTCAGAGACGCTGATCACTCCGGAGCAGTTTTTCCGCTCACTCCCCCTCTCCTCCCCGCTCTCAGAGACGCTGATCACTCCGGAGCAGTTTTTCCGCTCCCCCCCCTCTCCTCCCCGCTCTCAGAGACGCTGATCACTCCGGAGCAGTTTTTCCGCTCACCCCCCTCTCCTCCCCGCTCTCAGAGACGCTGATCACTCCGGAGCAGTTTTTCCGCTCTCCTCCCCGCTCTCAGAGACGCTGATCACTCCGGAGCAGTTTTTCCGCTCTCAGAGACGCTGATCACTCCGGAGCAGTTTTTCCGCTCACCCCCGCTCTCAGAGACGCTGATCACTCCGGAGCAGTTTTTCCGCTCTCAGAGACGCTGATCACTCCGGAGCAGTTTGGCGAGGCGCTGTGTGACGACCTGGACCTGAACCCGATGGTGTTTGTGCCGGCCGTGGCGCAGAGCATCCGCCACCAGCTGGACACGTACCCCACCGAGACGGTGGCCGAGGAGGCCTCCGACCAGCGCGTCGTCATCAAGGTGGGTGACCGCAGGCGCCGCGGAGCGCCGGCGGGCCGCGCGCACCGCCGGGAAACGCAGGGTGTTTGTGCAGTGCGGGCGATGCGTGGACACGAATTATTGCAGTTTCTTGCCGGTGTGTTGTCGATGGCTGTTATTGGTTCGCTTATAGTTGGTGTTTTCAACTTCGCGTACCAGGGAATTTTGTGGAAATGTTTCTGTTCATAGTGATACTCGATACTCGTAATTGATGTCCAATTATATCGATCGTTATCGTGTTGTTCCTTTTTACGTTCCGTGGTATTTTTCTGTTCTGACGCTCGCAGTCTGTTTTGCTGAGCAGTGGTCTGACTATGGCATTATGTTCTGTTCAGCCCTGTACTGACTATTGCAGTCTGTTCTGACTATTGGAGTCTTTCCGCACAGCTCTGTTGTGATTCGACTACCGCCGCCTATTTTATGCATTATGTCGCGTTCAGCTCTGTTCTGACTGTCGTTCCCTGTCGCCAGCTGAACATCCACGTGGGTAACATTTCTCTGGTGGATCAGTTCGAGTGGGACCTGGCCAACCCTGACAACAGTCCGGAGCAATTCGCGCACAAACTGTGCGCAGAGCTCGGCCTGGGTGGGGAGTTCGTCACGGCCATCTCCTACAGGTGAGACGCGCCCCGCCGAGACGGCCGGGCGCCGGAGACTGGTGTCGCATATCTGCGCCGGAAGGGGGGGGGGGGGTATGTTTGCTGCATCGTTATAATATTTTCATCCACGGGTCTCGTTCTGTTGTTGGTATATGTAGTGTGTGTTAAGTTCAGGACTCACAGATCCAGTAGTCCTAGCTCGCTGGCCATTGCCAAGACTCTCGCCCTTAACCGAGCGACCCCTGACCGGATTTGGGTCGGTTATGGCTCGTCCGGGGGTACAGGAGGGGTATTGACTCGCTTGACCTGTGCTATGTGCTGTCACAACCTCACAGTCCTCATGAGTGGGACCTGTGTGTCTGACCTGTCACCTGTGCCCTCGCTACTTGTCTGACCTGTGATCCGTCTCTGCCGGCAGTATCCGCGGCCAGATCAGCTGGCACCAGAAGTTTGCGTTCAGCGAGCACAGTCTGACGACGATCGGCCAGCCGTACCGGCAGCGGCACGAGGCGGACAACTGGGGACCGTTCCTGGAGGCGCTCACAGACGCCGAGATGGAGAAGAAGATCCGTGACCAGGACAGGAACACCAGGTCAGTACTGGGGAACCGGGGCAGGAACACCAGGTCAGTGGCGGGGGACCGGGACAGGAACACCAGGTCAGTGGCGGGGGACCAGGACAGGAACACCAGGTCATTGGGGACCGGGACAGGAACACCAGGTCAGTGGCGAGGGACCAGGACAGGAACACCAGGTCAGTGGCGGGGGACCGGGGCAGGAACACCAGTGGGGTCAGTGGGGACCGGGGCAGGAACACCAGACCAGTCAGTAGGGAAAGGGGGGAACACCAGGTCAGTGCCGAGGGATACTGAAACACCAGGTCAGTGACGTAGGTGAGGGTGGAGGGGGGGGGGCGACCGATACACCCAGTCCGACAGGTGTTGAGGTGGCGCCGTGTACGACGCTAGTTAGATGATGCGGAGATAGAGGTGCTGGTGGGTTGGTGGTATACACCTAATATAGACATGCAGGCCGGACGTTAGTATGTGTAGCCTAGTCTGATCTGGTTATGGGACTTCGCCTTACGCTTTCAGTCGAAATTACAGTAAGGTGTCCGCTTGGTATCCTGATCGGCCCGAAGTGGATTGTTGAGGCGTGTCATCAGGACGTTGTCGCATAAAACCCCGGCCCTGGCAACAAAACTTTGTATCGTTGCCTTGTCAGTGCAGGTCAACGTGTCGCTTTACGTATTTCGTACGAGATGTATGCAGGTACGTTGGTCTCTTCACGTAACCGTGCTGACCGATTGATTTTGACGCTCTGTCGCCAGGCGTATGCGTCGGCTGGCCAACACCACGCCGGGATGGTGAGGAGGGCTCCCCGACACGTGCGGCGGTGGACGGTGGCCGAACGCGTGCCGGCCCGCTCCCTTCGGTGGACAGATGGGGGACAGAGGCGGCGGGATGGGCTGCTGTGGAGCAGCGGGCGCCGTGTCGCACTGTCCGACCGGACAGACGGCGCGCCAGGCGGCCCCGGGCGCCCTCTGTCGCCCTCCCCTGTCGCCGGCGAGCTGCTGTCGTCTGGCAGCCCGCCGTCTGTCTGTAGCGCATAGTCTGCCCGGGAGGGACTCGTGGCTGTCACCGGTGTGTCAGATATGCGCCTTGGTGTGGACCTGAAGACAAAGCTCCTCTACATCAGACGGCGAACTAACTCGGAGGTCGAGGACCGGGCCCGGGGGGGGGGGGGGGGGGGCAATCATGTGCTCGTTGTCGGCGCTTCATTTTTGTATCAATCATTCATCATTGCTAGGTCAAAATGCTCTGGCTTCTCATCAGGACGTGCTGTAATATTACAGATCGCTATTTTGGCCACCTTCCATTTTCGATGTATCCAAAGGGCGCTCTATGGTAATGGCAATTTGTGTGTGGCGTTCGTTTGAAACAAACCCACCGGTATTTTACCCGATATCGGTTTCTTCGTAGAGCACCATTTTTATGGCGTTCTTTGCTCGTATGTTTTCGGAATCATTTCGGTTCTCATGTATCATGTTTTGTGAGTCTCACCATCATAATATAAGACTTCTTAAAAGATATGTGGGTTATGTCGTATTGGTTCTGCCGGTGATCAATTGGTGCGAATTCTTGTGCTTCAGGAATCGTACTGACCTTAGTTCTGCAAGTTATTGTAACTCACTGATGACTGAACAGACCTCGACACTCGACAGTGACTGGCAATGGTACAAACTAGTCACCTTCCTGCTTTGTGTATCGACCTTTCAATGTGGACTTTGACAACAAGCTGTATGCTGCGCAGGCGTGTGGGTGTGCCACGCATGCGACGTCGTGTTGACATGAAGATCAGGCCATATAGGCTCGGTCAAGTTATAATGAGCAGGTTACGATGTAGATTAACCTATTTATATTATTTTCACTACGGGGTAGATGATATTTCTCCGTCAAAGTCTAGAGCCATAAATGCATATTTTTTCGGCTAGAAAATTGACATGTCAAGAGGTCATGCCTTCATTTGCGTGTAGTCGAGGTATGTACGGTCTGGTAGGCCGATTGTTTGTTTGTTTTCTTGGTTATTTAACGACGCATCAGTCAAACTTGGTCTGGTCAGACTGGTAGGTCGAGGTTACGTAAAAGCAAGCGTAAAAGCGTATGACGTCATAAAACCGAATGCGATATTTTGGAACATCAATTTCTCTAGTGCTGAGCGAGTGCAAAACGCGGCGCACCGGCTTCCGGCGGTGCTTTAGGGCCTTGGGCGGTGCATGGTTAGGTTCAAGTTGGGTTATGCTCGTTTGTCATCTGAATTTTAATTTTTGAGATATTGAAATATTATTGAGTTTTGTTGTTTAAAGTATTATCCACCATTATCGATATTTTTAGCAATACCTATCCAGAATTACAACCAATTATACAATTGAAATGTCTGCAATGCCACATTGATTCGCTTCAAAATCGTGAATAGTATCAATATGCTATGGCTATGCCAATATCAGTATTGATATATACCAGTGGTCAGCAGGTCCTCCGGGGTCGTGCCCCCTTTTTTCGCGTAAGGCAGGGCCATTACAGTTGGGGAAACTACGAGGAGCCAAACAAAAAATTGGATCAGCCAATCAACGGCTGGAGTGGGCGGGCGATAACCATATATGCACGGTGATTATAATATATGGTCATAAAAACAGACAACTTCATCTTTTCCATGCATCCTAGCATTCAAATGAAAAAATAAGGCATAAGAATGTTTTTCAACCACACAAAGCCTAACACTCAACCGGTGCACAATGCACTGGCAGCTCTAAATCGCGGAGTTACAATACAAGGGCCCTGTTTCACTGCCCCCACTGTCTCTAATAGTCCCACCTTATGGTATTAAGGCAAACTTTGAGGTTACAGATTGTATGTACGTAGTTCTGTTAATGCTTCATTCCAATTCTCTGCTCCTTTTGATAGCAATTTTTGAAACATCAGTTTTGATTAGATTTTGCTACTGATTACAAATCTCTTGGTTAACCGTGCCCCACTGGGGTCTGCGTATAGCACGCCCTACTGGGGGAGGGGGGAGGCTCTCCATAGCCCCCCTCCTAACTCCGAAACTTCTGGGCCGATCATCAAAATTCAAACGGCGTCTGATAGCCCCGGAAAATCTCTCGAACGAAACCTAATTTCATTGACCTCGAGGTCACCGATGACGTCACAGGTCAGGTCAAAGTAAAAATTATTAGCATTTTGGCTTGCTCACATTTTGGGCTCTGGCCACCATCTTACAAGTCAGATCAGGCTCATTTTTGGTTTAACTTTACACACTCGTGAACAGATGCTCTAGATACCTTGAGGGTACCAAACTTGTACTTTGATTTTCAGGTCAGGGTCAGGTCATCACAGGTCACGGATATATTATATTGTGCGTTGGTCATGTGACACATGTTTTATGGTCCATTTCGGCCATATATTTCGAATTTGATGTCGTCTGTGTCATGCGAGGTCATTTTGAGCCGAATTTAGCTTAGGACAGGTCACTTTCAGGTAAAGAAAGGTCAAATTTTGAAGTTACAATTTTTCAACAAAAAGGTGTCTATTGGATGCAGTTTGAGCTCAGGAACACGATGATGCTATTTATATTGGTGTACGATGTCAAATACGTACTGAAAAATTGATTTGAAAAATAAATAATTGTGAATTTTTTGCAATAATGCGTATAACTTGGCCATTTTTGAAGATATTTAGGTAAAACTTGCTTGAGTTAGTCATAGGCATGCGTTCTGTCACATATATTCCGTTTTTTTTCGAAAAGTCAAAAACGTTTTGAAAAAATAACTATGAATTTTGAATATTATTTTATAAAATTTTCTGAAAATTTTGAAAATCCCAGATAGCAGTTTGATAGCGCAGTCAATTCTGAGTCCTTTCATCCAAAGAAATTGGATCTAGCTTTAAAAAAAACTGAGCTCTTGGAAGCGATTGCCGTGGTTCAATGTTTTGCGTCGAAATCGGCCGAACATGACGTCACTCTGACGTCATTTCCGGCCGACCTATGGTAGCTACGAAGTTTAAATTTTGACACAAGGTGTAAAATTGATGCAGCCGAAGGTACTGTAACTTTGGCGTCGATACGTCAAGTGGTTTGGAAGTTATTGCAGAAAAACGGGAGGGGGGCTATGAATAGCCCCCCCCCCCCCAGTGGGGCGCGGGTTAACATGACAGCCTATGATGGAGGTGTTAGGCACCACGAATCCATCATTCCAGCGCTGGGGGCCATTGCCCTTGCCATCTCAACTATGGACCTAACCTAACCATCTAGATTTAGCCAGGGAATGATTGTTCTTTTGTTACGATTTTTCATCATAAGTGTAGCCTTCTTAGCTATGTAGTAAAATAATTACAATAAATGTAAAATAATTGTAGGTTTATGCCAAAGTAAACCATTTAGTCTTGTACATAGATGGGTACCTTCCAATCCTACTTATTAGAATAGCAAGTTCCACTGATATTCAGAAACTACTCCTTGCTAACTCTTATGAAAACTTATACAAAAATGCTGGAATGGATTTCGCTGTACCTACAACCAACAAATTACACAAACATTACAACATGCTACACAGCATTAGGTTTTCCTTGCTAGGCTCGCTAGGCTGCAGATGAGGTCTTGTCTTCATTTCCAGCACGGTTAATATGCTGGTGCAGATTTGTTACCCTGTCTGGTGTGGCTTATCAATTGTGTTGCCACACTGCAGTCATGGATCATGATGTAGGAATGTATGTCAGTGGACAGGCAGGCCATTGCCAGGTGATGAGGACTTCAGTCTAGTCATTGGCTTGTTAATGTTCTTTCCACCTTTCCAGGGCTATCATTTCTGCACTTCTTTGGCACTGAAGAAGATACCTTCCATTGATATTTACCTTGTGAACCAGTATCTATCTACCTGAAGAAGACAACCATGGCTGAGTAAGTTCAAGTTGTTTGGTCCTATGGTTATATTTAAATGTAGAGCTAACAAGTGGGCTCATACTGAATGCTAATAATTGCTGTCGGTCATATCTGTATCAGTCTTTGGCATTTCTATGGGAGCTAGGTGTGCTTTTGTGCTACATGCCCAAAATGATTTATCTTTTTTCAGCCGTGAAGCCCAAATGAGGACATCTGTGAACCAGAAGCTGATTGAAACAGGAGAAAAAGAAAGGTGATATAACCTTAAACAGGGATGCATTGTGTGCTATTGACCATTCAGTTGATATCGAGGCATTAAAGGCATTAACATGTTTTGCACTTCTGAAGCCTTTTTTGTTGTCATGTTCATTGAAGTCTGTTGTTTATTTCATTGTTTTATTGCCTTTTTCATCAAATAATTACAAGGACACAGGACATTTCAAATAAAAATCCTGCTTCAAAATTGTCTATATTACAGTTTTGATTTTGTTCTAAATTCCTATAGATCAACTTGCCATCTGGTATTGCTTTTCACACTTGCAAGTAATTACATTAGTTTGTGTGAACTTGTCATTTTTTTTTCTGTGAACCATAACATAATTTCACTCTTATTGGTACTATATCGTATAGGTACTGAACTATATCACACCCAAATGGTCAAATTTGCCCAATTGATCTTGCCCAATTTACCTTCTCAATCAAGCTCAATCGCCTACTGTATGGAAAGCTGTCCGATTCCTGATGCTGCCAGATTGTCTGACCTGTTTGTACCGCCCGCGGGCCAGGCTGAAAGAGCTGCTGCGGACGCGGCTGATCGAGTGCGGCTGGCGCGACCAGCTCAAGGTCCAGTGCAAGGAGGTGGTGCGGGAGAAGGGTCTGGAGAATGTCACCGTCGACGACCTGGTGACCGTCATCACCCCCAAGGGGCGAGGTGAGTCCTCCCGCGGCGCCGAGTGCGATCGGGACCAGGCAGCGCGGCCGCGTACTGGGTCGGGGTGTGTCCGAGGACAGTTCGCCCAGTAGCTTAGCTTGTAGAGCATATTTAACTTCCGGTCGCGAGAGCTCGGGCTCGGGTCGCTCCGGCGCTCGACATATGGGACCCCTGTCCGCGATGCTCTGCGGTTGGTGGGAGCAGCCGCGGCCAGGCTAAAGTCAGTTGAGTTGGATGGTCCCAAAATTTGTTGATTTGGGTGGGAAACGACATCCAAATGAAAATCATTTCGCACTCTCACCTCCGATTTTTAGGAGCAATTTTCCACTCCCACTATCACGAAGAAAAGGCATTATCATGGATGGTCGTTACGGAGCGAGCGAAGCGAGCGTAGTCTTTCCTTAGATTAACGGAAATTTCTGAGTATGAGCGGCCGGCCGGCCGGCCGGCCGTGGTCACGCTTTTGCGAGGCTTATATCTCAGCAACCACTTGACCGATTTACATGCGGTAATTTTTGTAGGGTAGCTTCATTCCTTCTACCAAGTATTGCACTATTCCCGATGCATGTGGGTGACCCCTTATGCACGTGCCACGTGCAAAACGAAGAGGTGTCACTTTTGCAATTGTTGCAATATCTCGGTAACTACTGGGCCGATTGCGCTGAGAGTTGGCATGTAGGTAGGCACCCACTAGGCAATGCATATCCATGTGCCAGAGTTGGGGTGCTGCTGCACGTGCGCACGTGCAGGGGTCGTTTCCAGATCTCGAGAACGGCTGGACCGATTGCGCTCAAATTTGGTACACGGTTACGGAGCAGTTAGTAGGGTGCCGTGCACAAGTCAGTTGGGACCCGTTTTGCACGTGCGCACGTGCAGGGTGCCGCTTCCAGATCTCGAGAACGGCTGGGCCGATTGTGCTCAAATTTGGCACATCGCTAGAGACCGGTTAGTAGGGTGCCGTGCACAAGTCAGTTGGAGGTACCCCTCGAAATTTCGCACGTGCAAGGCTCACCCTCTCGCTCGCTCCGTTAGTCGCCCCAAAAGGCGTTATACTGGTTGTACATTTCATATTTTATCACGCATGCATAAAAATTAATGGTATTGATTTTTTCCACTCTTTTAGGCGTGAAGTGGTTTTCCACACTCTTTTCATATCTTGACCAGCAATTTTCCACTCTCATTCCCATTTTTGGAGAGAAATTTCCCCTCTGACACCCAAACCAAAATACAATTTTGGGACACTGGATGGACTATATGGCGTCCGGCTTTGATGGGCATGCTAGTCTTTCCGCATCTAAATTCTCCCTTTACCCGGAATGGCCAGGTCTGGCGCTATGAGTCGGGGCTTTCGCAAGGCAATACTCAGAAGTATTTTCCGTGGTCGGGTAACAGCTGTCTTGATTGTAGTTCTTTCTATGTACATTTTATTTACTGATAAGAAAATAGCTGAAAAGTGGATGTTTTCGGTTTCGGCTCTTTGTCTCTGCCACGCCTTGCAGCTCCACTCCGATGCACTTTATAAACCTTATACTACGGAAGGCCCAGTTTGTCCTTACCAAGTCGCTCTAGTCCTGTATGTTATGTGTCAGTGCGTTGCCGTTTTGGCGGTCTGTAATTTGATTATTCGAGACAGTTGCTGACTTACCGTGGACGTGGTTCGTCCATATGACATTTAATATGCACCATCATTTGTGCGATTTAACTCGATCTATGCATTTTCAGTTTAGGCAGCCTTACTTTATTACTTTGCAATGAAAACAAAATGATCATAACTTTGCGACAACTAAATGCGCCTTAATCACAGATAATCGCTTTTTCATTTACTCGCCTGTATCGGCTTATGAACAATACGGCAGTTTCTAGCAATTCTTATTCATTTTTTATGTGGAAATTATGTCAGATTTTTTTTTTAAGAATGAGAACCAATTTTTCTCTTATCGCTGCAATTTTGCAGCTCTTGTGCCAGACTCTGTGAAGAAGGAGCTGCTGCAGCGCATCAAGACGTTTCTGGCGCAGCAGACGAACCTGTGATCGGCTGGCGACTACCGCCATGCCCGTGGTGTGATAGGACTGGGCGGTGTGACATCCCGTCCCGTGACGATGGCGAGGGGCCGGTCTCCGTGTGACCTGTGACCGGTCAGCCGTGTGGGCTGAACCGGTGGCCGCCGGCGCCCCTCCCCCGACCGATCGTGCCCAGCGCGGGGCGGTGAATGGCTGCTCAGGGCCGGCCAGGGAGTGAGATCGCACCTCTGTTCGATGTGAGTGATCGTGTAATCGTCTGTGTCGCCGCTCTGATCATTGTGATAGTTCCATCACCGCCACACGCGTGACTCATCCGCTTTCGGCCAGGTGGCAGCACTGCATGGTTCGCAACGTATTGTAGCGGGGCCAGCAAGGGTTCTGAAGTCACACGATTCGTGATTCCTGTTGCCACAAATGTCGTGTCGTGCTTGTGTTGTCTGATGAAGACGCAAATATCGCCTAGACACTTTCATTCAATGTGAATTGACCTCAAGAAATGATGACACCATCTTAGTGTCCGTTCTGAAAAAAAAAAAATACACATTCACAGCTTTGTATCAATTCTTTATGTGTAGGTACTTCTGATGAATCTTTGAACTTTTATCTATCGCTTTCAATGCAGCTGAAACTAACTCAGCTGTCTTGCAGCTGTACAAGGAAATGAGTGGCTTATTTGTTTCGCCAGTTGTCGCTTCATAATTTCGTATTTGTGTCTTGGCTTTATTTTTTTTTTCACACAGCAGCTGACCCAAATGCACTCATATCCTTGGGGACTAGGGACACTGTGTATCGTGAGTCAGACTTGTTAGGTAGCTTTTGCTTTCGGTTCGTTGTCTTTGGGTGGGGGTCTGAAATAGTGCACGACCAGATATACATTCGGCGCCCGCTCCGGGGGCACGACCAGAACTCTCCGGCGGACTACCGAGGCGTACAGAGTAGGGAGGACATCCTCCTGGAAGCAACGCACCGTGCGACGCAGCGCCGCCAGCCGCTCCGGCGTCGGCTCGCGAAACACGTTCATCTCGCTCCAGAAGAAACAGGGCAGGAAGCCCTGGTCGATGGCCTCCTCCAGCATGGCCAGGACGGCGCGGATGGCCGCCAGCGGCTCCTGCCAGTCGGCCTCGGGTTGCCGCTGACACAGCCAGAACACGCACGTCTTCAGGTAGTAGGAGGAGACGGTGGCCAGTTGCTGGCGCCGGTGGGCACGCACCAGTCGCAGCAGCAACAGGCAGTAGCGCGCCCGCGCCGGCAGCGCGCGCACCAGCAGCGCCTCCGGTCCGGAGAACGACAGCCGCCAGAGCCGCCGGTCGGCTGCGCTCGGGCCGACCGGCACCAGGTGCAGCGACCCGGCCAGCCGCGCCAGCAGCCGCTCCCCGGGCCAGCCGGCCGGCCGCGGCCGCGCGCGCAGCTCCTCCAGCCACGGCACGGCAGCCTCACAGCGCACCGGCACGCAGGACACGCAGTCGACGTCCCCCTGGCCGCCGTCGAAGGTGACGGCCGGGCCGCTGACGCGCGGCTCGGCGCCCGCACAGTGGCCACGCACGGCCGCGGTCATGGCGGCGCGCACGGCCGCGGCCGGCAGCTCGCGCCGCTGCGGGTGGCGGCACTCGGCCGACCGCCCCAGCAGCAGCCGGTAGAAGCCGGGGGTGTCGGACGGCGCCAGACACGGCTCCGACGCGCCGCTCGCCGCCTCCGCCGCCAGCGGCGCCGCCGACACGTTCAGCTCCAGCATGAAGTCGTGGTCCGAGTGCAGCACCAGCTTCAGTCTGTTGATGGTTATCCAGCCGACTCTGTCCGCCACGCTCCCCGAAATGGTCGTCCGCTCGACGCGCAGGCCGTCGGCGGGCAGGCCGCCGCAGCGTCCACACTCGTCCGTCGGCAGGGTCGCGTCTCGACCCAGCGCGCTCAGCTGCGCGTTCAGGTCATGCTGCAGTTTCGGAGCGAGAACTTGTCTAATGTACTGTAAGTGCGGTGTTGACCCGTCTTTTTCAGGTTTCGGCCGATATTGGTATCGCAAAATGGTCACCAGCTTATTTTGGTAGATCTTGTAGTCGTCCACTTCGAGTGATAGGTATGCAAGTCTTTCTTCAGCCATATCAATCAACAATAATATCAGTTGTCATAAAAGTGGTATCAGCCGTCGCCGGCTTATCGCTACTGTTCTACGTTGCTTCGCGACTGTTTTAGTAGATCGACGTCAGCGCAGAACCGAGGGATATGCGTTGCACCTCTCGCTTCAATTACGCCGCACTGATGTACTGGCTTCGGTGCTCCTATCGTGTCGTTGCCGAACGAGTGTGCATACTGAGCGTTGCTAGCAGCGCTGGTGGGCCACCGACCAACTTGTGAATGCCTGCGAAGCGAATGTTTCTGAGAAGAACATTACTCAGTATGACTAACGGTCGTCGGATCCATTGACATCTTTATGTTTGACCTGCAGACACGGTGTGCAAGACTACGCCGGTGCATGATCAACTATCTTATCTCGCACCGGGCCGGGAGGGGGATGTTTAGACACCCCTGCGGTTTTTGGTACACCTGTTCATGCATATTTTCCGCACATGGTATGAAAATTTCAGTCGCAGTTCGCTGGAGCTCAGGTCGCCAGGTCACGCCAGGTCTCACTCATCTCATCTCACCCCTTACTGAGATGTAAGTGAACTTTTCTGGGACCTCACCCCAGAAAAGTTTGAATCGTCGTCATAGCGACACCGGTCGAACGATCACCTTGAAACTTACAGCGATTGGTAAGAGTACCAGTATGTATGAAATGTATATCTCGAAATTTTGATATCGGTGACCTAAGCTCAGGTCAATTTTGCGCTTTATTATAAGTCAATGGGAGAAAATTCAAAGGCGCCTATTTTGGACGAACGTCATTCTAAAGTCTAAGCACTCTCAAACATAGGAACACAGGTAAAATTGGCACACTGAATCGGAAAATTGCACCCATGACTCCTCCTCATGCCCCTGAGGTAATTCCAGAGCATGGAAGGTCCCCAGCAGTTTTTTTTTGGCAATAACTTTTGATAGTACCTGACATAGGTGGGCAATTGGGCATCGTTCCCCAAAATTGTAAATTCGTTACTCGTTCCTCCGTTCCTTCAAAACGTGACTTCCGTTACTCGTTCCTCCGTTCCTCTGCATATAATGTAACGGAAGTTTTTAATCCGTTACTCCGTTACAGCAAAAAAAAAAAAAAAAAACGTTAAAATGTTGTGTATTTCACAAATTTCTGAGACCATTCTGACACAAACCTACCGAGAAAGCGGAATGCCCACCAAATCTACCAAGACAGCGGGCACTGATTGGACACTAAACATTGGAACGTCTGGTGGTGCTGATGCGAATCACTTGTCCCCGCCCTTCACGAACGCTAGACGTGCCCTTCACGAACACTAGACTTTCCAGGTTGGCATCTGAGAGCAAAGCGGCGGAACGGGGGGGGGGGCACCGGCGCACCGTGCCCCCCCCCCCCTCCCCTTTGATCTTGGCATTTTAACATTAGCCCTATGTGCGTTGCATGGAAAGAATGGGACCAAAAGTCGGCAGTGCCCCCCCCCCTGAATTGTAGATGTTCCGCTGCCGCTTTCTGAGAGGGCAGCCCTTTTTGCACGTAGCACATCTTTTCTCATTGAGAACATGCGCTCTGCTGAGGCGCTTGAAGGGACGCCCGTGTTGAACTTTACGAACACATACTGCAACGCCGGCTCATTTCGGAAGGCCAGTACACTGAGCCCATCTTGCTTCTTCAAGTCAGGGCTGCTCAATAATCCACTATTCCGCTGCTGCATTAATGTCTGTGGGTTAGCTGAAAGATCAACCCGCTTGGACAACGAAAAGTAACGGAGGAACGAAGAAACGGACTAAACTGTTAAGTGTAACGGAAGAACGAATAACCAATGTAACGGAAGTTACTTGGTCCGTTACCATTTTCAAAATGTAACGAGTCCGTTTCTCCGTTCCTAAAAATTGTAACGGCGTTCCGGAACGGCGGAACGGAGGAACGGATCGTGCCCACCTATGGTACCTGATACAGTACAGCGATGAAAACATCTCCGATGTGTTCAGCCTGACGGTTTGTAGGTACGGATCGACTGATATGCAACAAGACCTTTGCCGTTCAAGCCATGACCTTGTCCTGAGGTAAAGTTTTCCAAATGACCTTTTAATATCAGATTATAGTTTATTCGACGCGTTTCAACTAGAGAAGCACGATGCTGGCAAAATAAATGTCTTATTTTTCTTCAGTCAGAAGTTATTACCGAAAATCTTTTTCGTAAAAACGGCTATGTTTAAAGTTTTCGCCTTCTGGAGGCTAAGCCGTTGGCCTGATGTGAAATCCGAGGACATGCTAGTGAAGGAGCGTTAAAAGAGCTATCGAATGCACTTTTCTGCGGCGCTGTAGCTCTACATAGCGGCGCTGTATGTATTGATTCCCGAGCTATGCGCCGGTTTGTCGAAAATGTTGAAATAGGCAAAATTTTACCTTTAATGACCTCTGGTCAGGCGTCACACAGGATTTTTGAATGCAGGGGTACGATCTGCACACTGCCCCCCCCCCCCCAGTGTGCAGGTCGAAGGGCCCCTGGCCCGGGCCCAGCCCAAAAAGTTGCCCTACATAGATTGATATGGAGTATGAACCTTCTGGGGCCCCAGATGGGCTCTTCTGTTGTTTTCAATCATCATTTCAGCTCATTTTTTAGACGGTCTTCGGCGGTCTAAAGATTAGGGTCCCATTTGAGGACCATTTGAGTCAGGCCGAAGGCCGTCTCAAATGCCCCCCCCCCCCAATTCGAATGAAGAGGACACGGGCCCGTGTGCCCCCTTCTGTGCGCCCTCTTCTCTAGTGACCTGACCTTTGACCTGACCTAAAAATGAAAAGTATGTTCTTAATGATTTTTTGACGCTCTTTTGAATGCCGTTTATCGCGTGTCGCTACGTGACCCATGAGCCGAGTTGGAGGGGAGGGGTTCAGACACCCCCGGCCCGGCGCGGGTTATGGCCGAATAGAAGGTGAACCCAACGTGTCTAACACAATGAACTGACACCAACACCAACACTGAGAAATCTGTGGGCGCTGAGTGAATTGTTCCCATCGATGTCATGAATATGATGAAAAACATTTTGCAAACCTTATGCAAATAACAGGAATTCTTAACCCGCGCCCCAGTGGCGGTCTCAGCCAACTTCGCCCTAGTGGGGTGGGGGCGTATGTTACCACCCACCTCTAACTAAAAAACTAAGAGGGCTAGAAAGACGCGGTAAAAAGCAGTCGATAGCTCTCGATTCGTATGTTTGAAAATATTAAGTTATTTTTCATCTTAGAGCAATATTGGGGTCACCAGAGGTCATCGAAAGTCAAAATTTGCGAATTGTCATTATATTTTTCATAAAACATGCCATTTTCTCAGGAGCTATGATAGCTAGAAAAATGCATGGAAAAGCAATCGATAGCTTTTGAGCTGTTCTTTTGATAAGGTCATAATAAAAAATGACCTCAGGTCAACGGTTTAGCCTCCAGAGGGCAAAAACTCCAAAAATAGCTGTTTTTA